ATTCATAGTAGAAACACTTGTTATTAATCATGAAGTGCATGGCCTTGCACTTGTGTTCTATGTAGTTTCATCCAGTTTCAATTGCTTCAGTTCTCCAGGTGATTCAGTTGATGTATGATGTTCCAGTCCTCTGATGCTTACAACTTCGGTGTCATCAGCAAATACTATTAGCATACTCCTATTTTGTGCGCCAAGCTAACTAAACTTGTAAGTGAGGTCTCTTCCAAGACCTGTCTTGAGAGGAGGTACTCTAGCAACCTCTCTTCAGCATTGATACTTACCCTTTCAGTGTAACCAGTTGTTTCCCCTTCAGCCAATCCTTACCCACTTTAGAGTTGTTCTAACTCCCCATCTCCAATCACTAATAATTCTCCTGTTGTACTATTTCAAATGCTTTACTGAAGTCGAGATGCATTAGAACCGCAATTTCTTTGTCTAAACAAAATCAGCTATCATATTGACAAAGGGAAGTTTCATGTTTTATTTCCCATATCTTTAATTATTTCCTTCAAAACTTGTTTTGAATCTTTGCATACTGCTTGAACTAAGACAGGTATGTGTGTAGCTACTTGGATACCTTTTCCTTTCTTCCTTTTGCATAGTTATCTCACGTGCTGTTTTCAGAGTAAAAAAGCTCTCCTTGACTTTGACACATCTGTTTATTTGCTACAGGACCTGCAGTTTAGTGTGCCAGTCTTTCAATTTTTTTTGTCCTCCTCAATGTGAATAGATTAAAGCTTTTTCATCTTTGCTGCTTCTTCAGTTGTGGTAACTTGGATTATTATTCATAATGTCAATAGCCATGCTACCTTTTTCGTCCATATCAGTGTCTTTATGGCAAATCGTAGCCAAGCAAGTATGCGTATGTGCTTTGACCCATTTTTATAACCTATGTGTTTTGGTGTGGTTTTAGGTATGGCTTTTGGGCCATACTGAGATTGTCCTTCTCCTCTCTTTCCTGTTTTCACTGCATAGTAGCTCTACTTAATCTTGCCTTGTTTTCTTTTTTTATGTATATGGCTGAAGAACCTTTTGCTATTTGTTTTAATTACCATTGCAAAATTTCTTGGCTTGTATTTTGGTAACTTACTTTTATCCCAGTGCTTCTTGATCTCAAAAGCCTAAAGTATGTCTCTTCTTGCTGATTAGTTCTGTTTTCCATACCCGGTAGGCTCTCTGCTTGCTTTTGCTTTTTTTGGGAGGGGGGGAGTAACTGTTCTTACAGTTAAATTTTTGTCTTTGGCTGGTTTATAATTGTAGCACTTTTTGGCTTTGAGAAATTTTAAGTCCTTTTCTGTGATGTTTCCTAGACCCCTAAAGAGCAATTGAAATTATTATGGACTCAGATTTGCCCATGTCTGTCTTGAAGTGTGGTGCCAAAACTGGATGCAGTACTCGAGGTGAGGCCCTGCCAGTACAGAATTGTTTCTTTTGACTTGCAAGTGACACCTCTGTTAATACAGCTCAGTATGCTATTATAGGCTTATATTGGCAAAAAGAGCGCACAGTTGGCTGGCATCTGCTTATGGTCTACTATATCCTCTGGGTCTTTGGGCAGGACAGCAGTATAGCCAGTCACTTCCCAGTTTATGTTTGTACGTGTGATTCTTCCAGGCTAAGAACAGAACCTTGCACTTGTCCTTTATTTAATATAAAAATCTGTTCTAAAAAAAATCCTGCTCTGGCAGCACCCTGTCCCTGTGAGCAGGTAAAAACTCTTGTATTTAGTAAGTTTAGAACTAAGTTGTAGGATAGGGAGAGAACTCAAGGTTTTCAACCCTCTGCACAAATGTAGGATATGCTGTTCTTAAACCATCCCAAACATGCCTATCCATCTCTTTTGTGAAACCACCCAAATGAGGAAATTCCTTGTTCCTTTATCTTATGGTCTTCACACGTATGACTTTTATTTCCCCCTGCAGTTTTATCTAAATCTTGCTTCTCTCAGTGTCTGTTTTCCTGCATCATTCTTAAAAAGAAGTGCTTAGAACTGGAAGCACTAAAATTGCTGAGTCCTAACCCGTGCTGAGTTGAGTGATATCATTACCTTCCATGTCTTAAATGCAATACTTAGGTTAATACAGCCTAAGAATGCATCTGTTTGTTTCCTGTTCTTTCTGGGGGGGTTGTTTTGTTTTTTGCAATGGCATTACATTGCTAACGTGTGTTGAGTTTGATCCATCATGGCCCTTAAGGACTCATTTGGCAGTGTTACTGTCTAACGGTAGGGTAAGCAGTGTTACTTCCTGGCCACCTATCCCTTATTCTTTCTGTAAACATCCTCTCTCCTCAGGTTACACCTTATTTTTTTTGTCCTTGAATTATTTTATTTTGTTGTCTGCGGCCCAGTTCTACAACTTTTATTGTAGACCCTATTGATTTCTACGAGTCCCCTGGGACTTAGATTTTTGGATTGCTTTAAATGCTTAAAAATAAGGGCTGTGAAGGGGTCTTTCATTGTGATAAAGTACCTCAGCTGTATTATGAGCTATGACTCTTCAGTTGAGCAGGGTCAAGCTTCTGATGGAGACCAAAGGAGAAAAACTGTGGTTTTCCACAGTTGTGGAAACCAAAGGGAAATGATGTAGACAGCAGCTGTAGGTTGCTACATGCATGACTGAAAAATTCTTCAGCTATTGGGGTACTTTGGCTTTACGTACAAGGTAATACTCGAGAATTTCAAAGTAAGTGGAGGGTGGAGATAACAGATAATGGCTTAATGAACAATGGCCCTTGTTGAAAGCTGGCATTTCATTGAATTGCTGGTTTTTAAAGTGAGCTGATGATGGGTCTAGGTCCTAATGGGTATCAACCATGACATCTAGCACTAACGTTATCACAACAGCTGGACCTTTTGTTGTTGAGGAAGATCAAGTGTGGGTCCTTTACTAAATAGAGGTGACAGCCTCATGACAGATGAACCTAATAGCAGCTTTCAACTACCTGAAGAGTGAAAAGGATGGAGCTAGACTGTTCTCATTGGTGGCAGATGACAGAATAAGGAACAACAGTCTCGAGTTGCAGCAAGGGAAATTTAGGTTAGCTATTAGGAAGAACTTTCTTGGTAGTAGGGTAGTAAAGCACTGGAACCAGGTTACGAAGAGTTTGTGGAATTGCCATCCTTGGAGGGTTTTAAGACCCAGGTAGACAAAACCTTGGCTGGGCTGATTTAGTTGGGGATGGTCCTGCTTTGAGGAGGGGTTTGGATTAGATCAGGGGCTTCCAAACTGGTATGCATTCCCCTGGGAGTATGCAAGACATCCATGTGGGGTATGTGGGAGGAAGGTGGATTTAATTTTCATGATTATTGGCCTTTAGGGGGTTAGAATATAAAACATATATGCTGATAGGGGTATGCGGGCAGCTGGTAAATCTGGAAGGGGTATGCAATAAGAAAAAGTTTGGGAACCTCTGGACTAGATGACCACCTGAGGTCCCTTCCAACCCTACTTTTCATTGATTCTAGCCAATGGTGTAGCTTAGGCATATTTTGAGATGAGGAAACTTGCACTCTTGCTAAGCTTTAATAAATTCTTTTGCTCCCAAGCCTCTGAACAAAGACTCGTTGCCTTAGCAGTACTTATACTGGTGGCCACCCCTGCACAGAGGGAGAAAAAAGGTGGAGCGTGCTCTTTTGCCCCTGAATTTCTTTAAATATCCAAACTGAGTCAGGGCATTTCTCTTCAGCTAATTGTGATAGTCCACGACTAACCAATATGAACAGTGAATCTTCCTGGCTTTGGTGTGTGCATTTACCACTGTATCCATCTTTTGTCTCTACATTTAAGTATTGCATTGGGGTGAAATAGTGCCAGCTCAAGGCTTTCTTTTTTATGTTAATGAGACTGGTGGAAGAGTCTATTATACTTTCCCCCCGCCCCCCAATTCCCTGGACCATGAAGGTACACCAAAACAAAGCTTGGGTCACCCTGATGTCATATGCCTGGTCCAGGACCTTTGGCACACACGAACACATAATTGCAAAAACACCTTCTATTTTTACTCCCCAATTTGCTCTCCCAGGACAATGACTTCACGTATGTCTGTACTCACTTCACCTACCTGCATGGATGCTGGATGGTTCTTGTACCTGGAGTGCATCTGTTTCACCTCTGGCAGATGCATTCTGATACATGACAAGAAAGCCTCCACAAGGTGTACCTACTTGTGCTTAGTGGTCCAGATTCTTGTTATGGCATCTAACGTGGGGTTATTTCCCCAATGCTGCCCTTGATTCCGAACTACCTGTTGGAACTGAGGTATTTGGACCCATTATTTAATTCAGAGTTTACCCAGCAGTAAATTTAATCTGTCACCCCCTGTCAAGGACTATCTAGTTTTCTCACAGCCTATTGTGTTGAGATTTCTGAAGGGACGGGCAAAGATCTTCTTCTGCGTTCAGGGTCCAGTCTTTGTCTTTACTGCAGTAATGCATCACCATTTGAAACAATGGCATCTGTTTTGCTGCAAGACTTTTTTGAAGACCGCCTTTTAGTGATTACTTTCACCGAGTGAGTGAGTGAAAACTAAATCCTAATGGTAGACCTATAAAAGTCTTCTGGTAAAAATCTTCAAAGGCTTGGGCTATGCATACCCAAGGGGGCTCCCTTTCCCCCACCCCCATTTTCCAGATTAGTGATGTAGCCTCTTAAAGAGTATAGAAGGAGGCAGGAATGAGGAGCGCTTTATATCCTGTAAAGTTAAAAAGCAGTGATAATAGGTAATGTTACAACCCTTTCCTTGGAGGAATGTGCTGACAAACTACTAATCATATGTTATACTTTTTGGTTTTGACTGTTACTTGTACCATTACCCTTTTCTTTTGTGTAAAATGGCAGCCCATCTGAGAAGTCAAAATTGGTATATGTTTCTGGACTGTTTAGTTGTCCAAGTTTGCTGACTTATTGATCTGCAAGAATCAAGTTAAGTGTTGCATAAATGTTTTTATTTGACAGTATTACACTTTCTTATACAGTCTTTTTTTCCTCCCATTACTGTAGAAATGAAGACCTAAAGCAGATGTTGGAAAGCAATAAAGATTCTGCTAAATTGGATGCTATGAGAAGGATTGTTGGGGTATGTGACACTTTTTTTGGCCAATAAATGTTGTTGCTGGATTATTTTCTCTGTGTATCTCCATTTAGTAGTTAGTATTGCATTTGTTGTTGGCTCCCCAATAAGCTAATATGGCATCATAGTTCCTAGACATGTCAAAGCCTTTCACTCGTCATCTCAGTCTACCTATAGGAAGGCCTTTGAGTAAACTGAGAAATGCATTTGAAATTTTAGGAAATGTTACACCCACAATTGATAAATTGTTGGCAGCATTTGAAATAAAATGTCATGAATTTACTGTTGAAGTTTAACAAGTGGAAAATTGGATGCTATTTCCTAATTTAAAGTTTCATATTTACTTTAATGAATAATATGCAAAGCTTTATGTTAAACCTCAGCTACAAAAAGTTTTAATAACTTGTTTTCCCACCTGTACATGACAGTCCCAAGACTGTCACATGTGAAGAGGGTTGAACTTACAAATAGGCTTCATATGATGTAGTAGGCGGTCACCTACAAAAGCTCATGCCACTCGGAACCACTTAGTATCCCCCTCTGCCTTCTGCTTATTGGTAATGTTGTCAATTATACTATCAGTGTAAGAGTCATGTTGCATTGACTTTCTCTTTTTTTAAAAGAGAGCAAAAGACCTGTAAGTTTACCTATAATCAGAAAAAAAAGAAACATTTAAGCAAAATGTTTTAAATAAAAGATGTCTTAGTGCAAACCTTTTCTAATTGCACATATTGTATATTTGCATATAGTAGACATAAATTGTGCTATAATTGCACTGCACAGTGACTCCTTAAATTTTGCTCTCTTTGCTGCACCCTCCCTCTCTCATACTCTCTGATTGGCCAAGGGACCCCAGCAGCCTCTCTGCTTGCTCCTGATCGTCCAGGAGGCAAAAATTTTGGTTCTAAATACGCCGTGGTTTTTGCCTCCTGGCTGATCAGCAGCGAGGCCACTGGGGTTCCTTGGCCAGTCAGTGGCAGGAGGCAAAATCCACAGCGTATTTAAAACTGTATTTTACATCTCTTAGCAGTCTCTCCCTCCATCCCTTTCCATAGTTTCTATTTAAAATCCTTTCTTTCAGCAGTCTATTCATACAGTCTGACAAAACTGTCTCTAAATGTGCAGGGGCGTGTGCCTGCAGTGGTACAAATATGTGCCACTACTTTGTGCTGCAGATCTTTGTTGTGGAATACTGCATTCCACCTTGAGCAAACTGCTCTTGTCTGGCTCCTCCCGGCTCCTGATGTGCTGCAGCAGCCAGGACCCAACATGGAGGAGTGGAGATGCCCTGGTCAGCAGCAGAGCATCTCCCTGGAGGGCCATGGGTCGGTTTGTTCTGGAGCACAGTATTGTAGTATGCACTGCGCCACTTTTTCAGGGGGGGTTGCTACCGAGATCCAGTAGCAGTTTGGGTGTGGAGCATTTTTTTGCAGTGCGACCCAGATCTTCTTGCAATCCACTCTTGGGTCATGACCAGGGATCCTGGTTTTATCTGATTTAAAAAATCACAGGTTCTCTGACAAACCCCCCAAAATTCATTATTAAAATTAAAAGCCCCCTGCAGCACCTGCCAGCCCTGCTGGTGCCCCTCACTGCCCCCCTGCCCTACTTGTACCCCTGCCCCCCCAGGCCTTCCTGAAGGGGCCCCCAGCTGCCAGGGCTGTGGGGCCAGGGACCCAAGTCTGCAGCTCTCTGCCCCCAACAGCAGGCAGCTGCAGCAGAAGCAGCATGGAGCCAGCTCCCCCACTGCTCTGCCTGCTCGGGTGGGGGTGGGGACAGGTCCTGGCTCCACCCAGCCCTGCCAGAGGGGCCCCCAGCCCCCTGCAAGCCCCACTTACCTCAGGCTTCAGGAGTGAAGAGTGAGGCTGAGCTGAGCAGAGTGGAGCTGTGGATGACTGGGAGTCTTAGGCCCCACCCTCCCCCTCTCCTCTGGGCAGAGATGGGGGTTTCCCACCCTGTTTGTAAACAGTTTTTGCAGGCTGGAGCTCAACCAGCCTGCAGAGTTGTTTTGCAAAAGCAGGGAATCTGCGGGTTTCTCTGCTAAAGGGAAAAATCCATGGTTTTCTCCATTTTTCCATGGGAAATGGAAAACCCAGATCCCTGGTCATGACCCATGGGTTGAGAAACACTGAAATAACTGGCAGCTCTAGTAGCCTATGGAAATACGGTAGAGTTGGTTTACCTAGTAACTACCTCTGTGATGGTGCTGGTGCCAGAGGCAATGAGGCATCCTGAGTTGCCAGGTTTGTGGATTTTGGGTTGACCTGATGCCCTACTGATTCAGAAAAAATTCTGTTTGAAGAAACTTCTCTAGGAATTAAAGGGTTCAGTTGATGTCATCTTAAGTAGGCTGTTGCTTACAAAAAAGCTGATTTCCTTCTGCACCAGTTAGTCTCAAAGGATGCCTGGAGATGTGCAGGGAGGTCACCCCATCATGCAGTGCACCACATCTCACACACAGCACATTACAGCACATCAGAGCAGACTTGATTAATAGAGTCTGCTGGTACACACTAATTAGCCTGCTCCAGCAGTCTCCATGTCTTGTGTATCAGCATCCCCATACTTCAGAATGGCAACAGGGGCGCTTTAACTAAAGCTTGTTCCATTAGCTGTAGTTAAAGTGTCCCACTGTCACTTTGAAGCATTGGGACATTGATACACAAGATGCTACAGGTGCTTTAATTACAGTGGCTCTTGGAGCTGCTCTAAATAAAAACCCCCCCCCCCCCCCCGGAGCACATGTAAAAATGCCGTAAGATTCCATCCTGCCCTGCCTTCTACCATTTCTGTTTAGGAATTGAAGGGTTTTTGGTCTCTTTCCTTTCTTTTTTTATACTGTGCATGTTTAAACAGGCTTGCACTAAAATCTTAAAGTTAAAGATTAACATGGTTCTTTCTAAAACAAAGTAAACTTTTTCAAGTGCTATCATACATTTTTTCCAAACTATATCTTCTTTTTAAAGCTTATGTGAGGCTTTCTTATCCTTTTTTAGTGTGCAGTATGTCAGAACTACGTGGGGGTTTTTTAGATTTCTTCTCTTCATATACCTGAGGAAATATAACTAACAGTCTACTCCTCAGCTTTTTTTTAGTTCTTCTTTTTTTTTATTGATAAAAGCGTGCTAATCCTTTTACCAAGCATGTTGGCTTATCATATCACTGTTTTAATGATGTATTGATGCAGTGATTTATGGGTATATTAGCATTTGATCAGACATACCCAAGCTGAGCAAGGTTGAGAGGCATATGAAAGCTATTTGCTGTTCTCTATTTCACTGCATAACTTCAGTTTTCCTATCTTAGAACCTAACATTTTTTCTAATGTCCTTTTGTTCCTTTTTCTACTTTAGTTAGTATAGAATATGAGCTGAGTGGGTTCTGGCTTAGATATCACTTGTTTTTTGCTGGAGGTATTACTCAGAGATCTATCTCCTTCTCCCCTTAGCATCTGAGTTTAAATAGATTTTAAATGTTGCATATGTATTGCAGTGTACTGAGGGCTTTACTTTTGTTAAATATTTAATATTAAAAGATGGCATTTTTAATAAACTGAAATGAAGGATGAAGTTACTTAAGTGTTAGTGTACTTAAAGATGCAAGTATGTCTAAAATGGGCGTGTGCAGCCTATATATTTATAGATACTAAATTTCAAATTTGAATATTTTTGAGTTTCCTTTTCTTGCCTTGAGGTGTTAAAACTTTGTGTTAGTAAAATTAAAAGCTGGTTAACATTCTAATATTATAAAAGCCTTTGTCTGTCTGTCATGTTTATTTGTGCTCTGACTGGCTGACAAACAGCCAGTCGGAGCACAAAGAAGTATTCGGACATGTGGCAGCCTGCTGCTATGATGGTGGGGCCACAGTGGACAGAGTGTGGGG